TTGGTAGAAAAAATTCCCAAAATTGAGTTGGAGACTGACAAACTTGAAAATCGCTGTAACACTAGGGCCATATTTCTATATTTTATCCGGTTTATGTAAATTTCTTACTCCTTTTTCATTTCGACTATTTTTTTTATTCTGACACAATGTGATCGGAAAATCGGAGGCGAGTTTTGAAAAATTCGCAAAAAATTGATCTCAAGTGTCGCAGATTGGAMAATTTATTRGACTAACGGCYCAATWTTGTSTGAGAAACTTTYGAAAAAATCTTGACAAGCGAGCTGCAAGCWATACAAAATTTTGTACGCMAATATTGGCAAAATCGAGGTGAAGATTGAGAAAGCTGAAAATCGCTTCAATAATATATATAGCAAGGTGTTTTCTAGTTCATGATGCTAAGACTAAAACTGTGGGYATTTCTCATTTTGAATGGTAATCTAAAAAAAATGTGATGAGAAACGTGCAAAAAATGCTTGCTCCAATTATTAATATCTTCCGATTTTCCAGATAMAGACCTACAATTTAAATGATGMTAAAGAAGACAAACAGCATAAACTACTCGCCCAATAGGAAACTGAAAAGTGTAAAATTTTGGAGTAAACCTGGCAAACTAATCAGACAAACACTGGCCTTTCTGACGACTTTTAAACGCATTTTATCAAAGTCCTACTTTCCATTATACCGAAACTGCATTTCTGTTGTTACAGGTGAAAATCTGGTTCCAAAACCATCGGTACAAGTGCAAGAGACAGGCAAAGGAGAAGGCGATGGCTGAGCAAAACCAACACAACCAGGTAACATACCTTTTGGTCCTACAATAACACGAATCCCATTCATTTGATGGAAGAATGGAATTAATGTAGCGAGTAACGATCCCAAAGGTCGTAATACTTTAAGCGCATTTTGGACTTGACTTTGATCAGCGTGAAAGTGCCACAATTACAGTTCTTCGGATGGTTCTTTTGTGAAGAAAATTTCAAGCTGAAAAAGCGACTGTGTAGGACAACTATTTGCGTCAAAACATTATCGGAATTCGGCATTATTATTGTTAGAATCTGGCAAGTTTATCGGGCTTTAAGCCGCGCTGACATTTTTTTAGCTTCAGAGGTTTATTTGCTTCGGTGGCATGAAAGCCCGAAAAACTCAACAGTTTCCTCAGCAATAGCAACAGGGGCGAAAGTCTAACTCTTTAACGCATAGAAGTTCAACTGTTTCAATCGAAAAACACATTTGCTCAAGTTTTTATCCCATTTTCCGTTAATTCAATTCAACATCAACTTGACAAAAACCTCCACAACTGCGAACTTTCTTCCATCGATCAAAATGCGATTTGCTTCTTCCGATAACCGTTATTGATGTTGGGAATGGAGGGTCAAACGAAATAGAGTTTCAGGGGGCCCAGGTAATCTTGTGAAAATGCCACGAATATTGAACCGGCCACAAAAGAATAGGTTATAACAATATCGTCAGCAGACAAACTTTGTTTATACAAGGCGCTCTATTGACAGACGGCCAAAGGAAAATAAAAGCTCTTGCTTAACCCATGTAGGTGACGAGCGAATGTTTGTTCAAGAGCTGGACCCCACATTCGGATCGATGGGATATTATTTGAATTTCGGCTCAGTATTCGAAATATTTCCGCACAATGCGTTGTATAATCTTTTCCGGACACGATTGTAAATTTCGATTTAAATCGTCATTTGCAAGTGTTAAGCATAATCGAGTCTACGCTCTTCACATAAAGATTAAACGACTATTATCTGTGGACATATCAAGGGCTCTTTCATTGAAGTGAAAGAGCCGTCGCATGCCTAATTGAATCAGGACAATAAATCATCCTGCCATTCCTTCCCTCAACTTCCTGCGACGGATGTAAACATTAGTTTTATTTGCCACTATCAATATAATTGCTCGCATAGTAGGGTGTCTTCACTTTTTTTTAAATGTTGATATATGGAAAGCAGTTATGGCAAACATTACACTGATATAATTTTTTTGACAAAAAAGTCTCCATAATGATTTTAAAGCAAATTTAAATTCAAATCAGACATTTTCCGCCAAAAACGCCGAATCCGTATCGTCGGTTGTCTATCCCGATTGTGACGTAGCAGGTCATATCAACAAAGTGTCTCGTGTTTATTTTGTTGTTTTCGCAGCGTAAAACTCTACATCAAAAGCAACAACATTTTTGCGATTTTGGATGGTTAAAGTCACATTTTCTTCAAGAACCCTCAAAACGTAATTCACATTAAAACGAGCTTCGATTTTCATAATGATTCCAATTTATGCCTCAAGCTGTTTCACCCCAAAATTCTCCAAACTAATTAAAAAAAATTCAAACTCCAAAACCAGCCACACAAATATTCCCAAACCCCTTCCTGAAAATCAAGAAAGCTTTCAAATTTAAATCATGCAACTGCATCTAAAAGGCTCAAACTTGTACGTTAAAAAATTGCCAACTACATCAAAAACGACGAATTTTTCCGGTTTTGAGCGTTTAAAGCCACATTAATTACACACATTTAAAGGCAAATTATGCCTGAACCGCTGTTGCCACCAAATACCACAGACTGAAAAACTATACCTTCAAAACCGTCTGCAAACAATAATCCAAAACTTTTTCCCGAACATCAAGGAAAATTTGCACTAAAATCCCACCAAAGCTCATCGAGCTGCAAACTCTCTCTGATTTCAAACGAGTTTAAACTTGAACCATGCGACTGCACCCGAAAAGCTCAAACTTGTACGTTGCCCACTACATCAAAAACGCCGAATTTTCTCGGTTTTGAGCGTTTAAAATCGCATTTCCATCACGCACCCTCAAAACTTCATTCGCATTAAAACGAGCTTAGATTTTAATAAGAATCCGAAATTATGCCTGAAGCGCTGTTGCCACCAAATACCACAGATTAAAAAATTCTACCTTGAAAACCGTCTGCAAACAATAATCCAAAACTTTTTCCCGAGCATCAAGGAAAGTTTGCACTAAAATCCCACCAAAGCTCATCGAGCTGCAATTTATTTCCGACTTCAAACGCGCTTAAACTTGAACCATGCGACTGCACCCAAAAAGCTCAAACTTGTACATTAAAAAATTGCCCACTACATCAAGAACGACGAATTTTCTCGGTTTTGAGCGTTTAAAGTCGCATTTCCATCACGGATCCTCAAAACTTCATTCGCATTAAAACGAGCTTAGATTTTAATAAGAATCCGAAATTATGCCTGAAGCGCTGTTGCCACCAAATGCCACAGACTAAAAAATTCTACCGTCAAAACCGTCTGCAAACAATAATCCAAAACTGTTTCCCGAACATCAGGCAAACTTTGCACTAAAATCCCACCAAAGCTCATCGAGCCGCAATTTCTCTCTGATTTCAAACGCGTTTAAACTTGAACCATGCGACTGCACCCAAAAAGCTCAAACTTGTACGTTAAAAAATTGCCCACCACATCAAAAACGCCGAATTTTCCCGGTTTTGAGCGTTTAAACTCACATTTCCATCACGGACCCTCAAAACTTCATTCGCATTAAAACGAGCTTAGATTTTAATAAGGATCCGAAATTATGCCTGAAGCGCTGTTGCCACCAAATGCCACAGACTAAAAAATTCTACGGTCAAAACCGTCTGCAAACAATAATCCAAAACTTTTTCCCSAGCATCAAGGAAAGTTTGCACTAAAATCCCACCAAAGCTCATCGAGCCGCAATTTCTCTCTGACTTCAGACGCGCTTAAACTTGAACCATGCGACTGCACCCAAAAAGCTCAAACTTGTGCCTGAAAAATTTCAAACTCTACACCAAAATACTTTCGCAGTTTTGACCGTTTAAAGTCACCTATCCAACAACTTATAAAAAAATCCACATTTTTGGCAAAACTTAGAGTGAGTTTAAGTCAAGTCAACTAATAAAATCCTCTGGAACCACATTTTAATCACACAAAAAAACGTTTTTTAGTCGTCTAGTTCACCAAGAAGAGTGGCAGTTCCCGTTCTAGTCAAAGATGGAAAACCGTGCTCTGGCAGTAGCAACCAAACGAGCTCGACCTCATCCAGCGCCCAATCGAATGCTGATCAGTCTCGATCGCAGCAATCGTCTGCGTGCCAGTCGAGCCAGGCTCAGGCTCAGTGCATGGCAAATAGTGGCCTTGCAATGGCGTACGGCCGACAACAAACAAACTACCAGCAACAGTGCAGTGCGTACCTGCCCTTACAGGCGAGGGCGTGGTAGTGCCACGAACAGTACGGGTTGGTCTACAACAGTGATATTTAGTAGATTTCATTTGAAATTTTACTGGACTGGAGATGTGAGTGGCTGCAGAAACGTGGCCCCTTTAAGACTACCCGTGCTTAGTTCAGTTGATAAAAAAATTTGCTGTCGATTTTCGATCAAAAGTGTGTTTAAGGTCTATTTAGGTCTGTAGGGTATGTATGAGTCAATGGGAATTGCAGTAAACCCACTAAACAATTGCCCAATCTGCGACTTTTTTATTGGGATATTTTCCGATGGTGTAAACAGCCCTGGCCCGATGCAGCGCTCAGTCGTTTACCACTTCGGGCAAGCTCGGCGGGGTTCGGCCCTTGTTTCGGCTCGCTAGAAGGGTTCGGATGACGTCAACCAGCTTGGGACAAGTTAGTTTGCACCACAAAATTTACACCTTACTGATCACTTGATGATACAAAAATTTAGTGGGTTTGCTGTAGGGTGAAGACAATATAATGAAATTGTTTATGCATTTCGGGAATATATTTAGTATTAGAAGTAAATTGATGTCAGTCACTTCCAAAGCGAGAACCGCACAAAGTGACTGCAAATATCTCAAAAGCTTTAATTTTGTAAATATTAATTCAAATTGTAAATATACAAAGTATTATTTATTCACATTAGGTGTTGTATAATGAAATTGTTCGCATTTAGTAACGATCTCTTGTCAGCATCGTACGCAAACAGGGTTTAAAGAGTAGATTTATACGATTTTTGCCCAACTCGATTCGAAATGGAACCGTGCAATGATTCGTCTCAACATACCATACTGTAAGTATACTAGGAAATATAGTAGATTGTAAAAAGTTCAATTAATTTTTCCAAGCCCACTATATTGCCCATCATTTCCAATACATATTAAGCAATATTATCTATTTATTAAACAATTAGTGTAGATAAGCTACGAGTTACGCAACAACGCAAGATGTGAGCATTTTGTAAATAAAATTAAATAAACGGCAGACAATGTCTGGAAAAGTAATGTATATATAGAGTAGATGTCTTAGGTGAGTAACTGTTTGTATGTAATTTTGAAAATAGTGTACAGTAAATTGTTAGATTAATATTGTAATGCACCATGTAATGTAAGTGTTTATAATTTGAAATAAATGAAAATACATTGAAATGGATTATCAGAAAGTGCTTTCATTGTCCCCTAGAAGCTCAACAGTGTTCCTGGAGAGCAAAAATTGAAAAACTGGTTTTCATGCAATACAATTCTTTTGGATTTTATTCTCATATCTGTTACCACTGTTGAAGATCTCCTACACGAAAATTTCGAACAAATTCTGCAAATCATGCTGCCATTGGAGAGTCACTTCAAATTAACTATTCTTATTCTATTGAAACCCCATCAAATAAAATTAATTCTCGGTTGTGACAGCATATTCGATGCTGGGCAAATAGAAAAAATAAAAGCCTTAATGATGCCGTGAAACTGAATATATAATTTAAGTAACGATGTTGACTGGCACGCCATATTTCACTATTCGTTATTTATTTTATGAATGAAATGTAAACGTGAGGAATGTGACGCGAACAATATTACCATTAATTAAATAAATTAGTCGATTGATTTAAATAAATAAATAATAAGTCAATTAGAGACCACTGATCTGCAACAAGATGGGTGAGTGATTAGGAACGACAGTGACCCAGCGTAAAAAAATAAAGAAGGTAATTATTGCATAAAAAAACCCTAATCGCCCAACTGAATATTTAAAAGTCATATTTAGTGCTAAAAAAATCAGTTTTTTGCGCTTTTAAGCCGCCGTGGAGAAAAGTACTTTTTCTTCTGAAGATCCAAGACACAAAATTAATTTCCACCCCTAAAATTCACCAGTTTTAGCACAAAATACGACTAAAAATGCCGAAATTCCCGGCCATGGCTTGAAACTGATGAGTTTTTGCAAAGTGATTTTCACTATTGCACTGAATACAGCGCACTTTCCTTCGTTAATGTGGCAAAATGCAGTTGAGTGTCGCTATTTTCAGACTTTAAGCGAACTTTTGGAACAAGTAAAATTCTTTATGAAGTGATTTTCCACAATTTTTCCAAAGCACACCAAGTGAGATCCAAAACTGCTTCTTGCACCACTGGATTGAGCACATCTCGCTCTATTGATGTTAAAAACGGCAATTCAGTGGCGCTGTTTTAGATTTTTTTGCAAATTTTTGATCAAGCGACTCAAAGTGATTTCCCGAGCAATGGGAGAGTTCTTGTTCCGCCACTTGATAGAACGCTTCTGGCTCTATTAGTGCTGGAAAGTGCAGTCCAGTTGAGTTTTTTTTCGAATTTTTGTCATGTAGGTACTTTCCTGCAAAACTAATTGCACAGTGATTTTTCATGTTTTTTCCGAACAAACCAAGTGAAATAGGAAAGCGCTTGATGCGTCACTGGATAGAGCGCTCTATTGTCGTTGGAAAGTGTAAATCATTGGCGTATTTTTCGAATTTTTGATCAAGCGAGTACACTTTTACTTTGCCGAAAAATTATATGCAACGTAATTTTCCATATTTTTTTCCGGGCAAGCCAAGTGAGGTAGAAAAGCGATTGATACGCATACGGATAGAACACTTTTGGTTCTATTAGTGGTGAAAAATGCAGTTCAGTGGCACTTTGTTCAAAATCATTGCAAAATAATTTTCATCAATTTTGGAGATCGAAAAGTGCTTATTACCCCACTGGACAAAAGGCTTTTGGCGTTTTGTTCAGATTTTTTCGAATTTTTCATCAAGCGAGTACACTTTTACTTTGCCGAAAAATTTTATGCAACGTAATTTTCCATATTTTTTTCCGAGCAAGCCAAGTGAGGTAGAAAAGCGATTGATGCGCATACGGATAGAACACTTTTGGTTCTATTAGTGGTGAAAAATGCAGTTCAGTGGCACTTTGTTCAAAAATATTGCAAAATAATTTTCATCAGTTTTGGAGATCGAAAAGGGCATATTACGCCACTGGATAGAAGGCTTTTGGGGTTTTGTGCAGATTTTTGCGAATCTTTCATCAAGCGAGTGCACTTGTGCTTTCACGCAAAACAAAATTTTTGTTATTTTTTTCTGAACACACAAAGTCGCATGGAAAAGTCTTTGTTGCGCCACTGGTAAACGCGCATTTCGCTCTATTGATGCTGGAAAGTGCAGTTGAGTGGTTTTTTCCGCAGTTTCTGCGAATTTTGAATGAATATATTGATGATAGAAAAATGCTTGTTGCCCCACTGAATAGAGCGCATTTGTCCCTATTAGTGGTGGATCAGTGCCCTTTTCACCAGGGTCTAAGAGCCGGAAAACTCACCAGGTTCAGTCAATCGATATTTTCTTTAAAATAAGTCCAAACATTTTGAAAATTTTTGGAACGTTACTTGAAACTTACTCCATGCAATTAATCCGTGCAATTTGGAATAATTCGAACGACTAAAGCGGCTAATTTCGTTAAAAGATCCACCTGAAAGCGGGGGAGCTTTAGGCGATATTACAATCAACCCTCATAAGCCGATGTAACCGATAGGGCGGTGATTAATTGTTGCCAAGTAACCGAACTGCGACGCGGGTCAAGTGGCGTCGCGATGCTTAAAGTCCGGTGCTCGAAAGAGCTTATTTCCCTTATCCACTTCCATCCAGATCAGTATTCGGTATTACATTCCGCATGGAATTAATGCAACAATTCACGAATTACGCCCTTTATAACACAAAGAATCGCCAATAATTGCTTGAACCCAACATTTGTCGTTGTTAAAGTTGCTTGTTAGCATTAGGAAACCTTTTTGGTTTCCAACCAAGTTGGCCTTGACAACGTCTTAGACTGTTAGACTCTGACGGTTCAAGTGTCAAAGATGCCTCAAAAAGTGTTAACAATCATTTGTCACTGTCAAATTTGCTTGTTTACATGCGTTTTCCACCAATGGCATGACAGTTGGACGCCGGAAATGGCGGTTAGTTGGGCATAAATTTCAAAAAACACTAATCACAATATGGTAATTGAAAAAGCTGTTTGCATTTGCAATCTAAACAAACAGACTTCAAGTTGATAGTTCAGGATCGACCAGYCAAAGACACAATTTATCTTGCTCATTTTGTCCTGCAGGAAAATGTTCTGATTTCGGTTCAGATCGGCCGTTTAAATTCATCAAAATGTCGATGGGTTTGCAAGTTCCAGCCCCACCGGGCATGTCACATAAAAGTATCAAACTGTTAGCGACACTGTGGCGAATATTTATTGATAGTCGGTTCGTAAAACCGTGGCCATGCCTGCTGGTGACACCGCAAATTTATGAGACCATCGTCGGTCACACTAACGCCCATATAAAAACGGGCAAAGAATAACGCCAACCACAAATAAGGGTGGGTAATAATGAGAACAGAGCTGAGATTTACCGAACACTCGCCAAGTACTTTATATGCACATTAAAACATATTTGCCTGATAATGTACGGGGCGATTGACGGTTGATTTCACTTAGTCTGACTTTGGACGATCAAGTACATGTTCTAGAACGCAAGAGAACATTTATAGAAACATCAACGTCCGAATAACGCACATTTTTGACTCCTGGATTTGAAAACATACAGTTCTTTGAATGACCCAACATTTTTATTGAAAATCCAGAACTACTTATAGAAAGCAAGTCATTTTTAATACGACAGTACAAAACTATCTGAATGACTCCAATCTTTCCAAAAAAATCTATAACTCCTTCTAGAAAGCAAGTGACATTTAATATTATTTGATATCGAGTCACGCAAATCTGTCCAAAAATCTAGAATTCCTTCTAGAAAGCAAGTGATTTTTAATATTAATTGACACTTCCAGCGACCCGTAAAGTTTAGAAAGTTTGCATATGCAAATGTCCCAATAACACAATTGTTTCTAGAAAATCTAGAATTCCTTCTAGAAAGCTCGAAATACTTATATCTAGAACTCCATCAAGTTTTTAGATACAAATGAAAGTAGTTTTTAAAGACCTTTTCATGTCAGCGAAGTTGCCAGTTCAAACAGAAAAAATTGGGTGGCTGGGGGACTGAAAGGGTTATAAACAAAGGACGAATGTTACCACCAAAAATGGGCGATGATTTCAATAAACTAACGTTAAGCAAAAATAGCGCATAAAAAATAAGAATTTTACCTGGCACATTAGTATTTAAAAATGTACCTACAGCTCCAGTTAAATAAATATTCCCAGTAAAATATTCAAAAGAAAACTCCAACCAGGCCCTTTCTTAAGATCTGCAAGGCGTTAGGGCGTGCCCATTTGAATATTTCCCCGTAATGAATTCCCAAAACATTAATCTTGCATTTATTCGACATTGAAGCGCCAACTTTATTCCATCTCTTCGTCATCTGATGATTATTCAGCCTCAAACGCGCTTAGAAGCATACACGATGGCTAAAAAAAATTAACTAGAGCATTTGCATACACTGTTAATGAGTTGACAAGTTTTGTAACTGGAAATTCAGTTTTTTCCAGCTTTAAAGTCAGGGGGGGGGGTTACGTAGACAAAATACAGTCTTCTGTTGTCTATGAAATTAAAAAAATTATCGTCGTTTTGTGCAAGTTTTGTAAGATTATTGCAAAATTTCATGTTTTCCGTCCCGTTTTGCATGTTTCTCGGAAGCAAAATGAGCAAGAACGCGCGTTTTTACATCATTCCAAA